ATCTTACGCCATGTTTGCTTCAATATGCTTCAACTGATTCAATATTCACTTTTGGCATGGTGGTGAAGTAGATTGAATGGTAACGGACAGTATTATATCTTGTTTACTGTGCTGTATAGTTGAAACATGCACTTTTTGTAATCTGGTGGCTAGATAGCATGAAAACATTTGGTACTCATTTTTTTCAAAATGTATTTTTCTCTTTCTTCTTTTCAACCACACATTCTTTATTAAAACAATATTACACGTAAATAAAAAAAAATTTCTCATTTTTTAATCACATATTTATTATCAATTTACTATTCTAAAATACATTTTTACATGAAAATGAGTCCCAAACACCTTCTTAACTCTTTGTTATGGTAAAAGATAAAATCAGTGGCATCTCTGGAATGATGCAAATAAATTAAAATATTACTACTAGTAGAATAAACTTAAAGACAGTACACACAATAATTCATCTGTAGATCCAAAATGAAAATAAATATATGATTGTGCATGTGTGTAACATGACCCGAAAGCACTGCTGATCCCACTATTTGTCCTTGTTTTGCTGCATGATCAGAAGTTACTAACATTCTCCAACCCAAAGGTTTTGAACGAGGCTTGAAACAAGCAGCATTGCCTCGATTCTATCAGGCCCTTGTGGTTGTTCTATGTCGACTTCTTGCCCGAATTTACTCTTATTGTGACAGTACAGCATAAAGAAACCCCCCCCCGCCACCCCCACAACAACAAAAAAAAAAAACAATAACACCATCTTTAAAAACTTTCAATGGGTAGACGACTTCAAAGGTTGGCCCAATTAGCTGTCATTTTACTGATGACAGACTTTCGAGTATAAGATATCTCCACTCCTTATTCCTTCATAACCCAGATGTCGATCCTCAAAGTATGAAGTATTATCGCATAAACATAGATTATCCTGTAAAACTTCGAGGCTCCCTAGAAGTTCTTGCCTGCTGGGAAATGGAGACGGGAATGGTTGAAAGACTTCATTCTCGATATCAAAACTTGAAATTAATTCGTTATTATCGTCTAAATCTTGTATCAACCAATGAATATTTCCAGTCAAAAACAACCCAAAAGATCGATTACGGCCACTATATGCGAAATTCGTTATTTCTCCATTAATTGCTTCTCCATGACCCGGTTCTGAGGGTGTGAACATGACACTCAGACCGCGGAATTCTAATGCGTGTCCGGCTAATGGGGTCAAGAAGCTGGTCATGAAAAACCCGAACCACTTTGTATTTACTAGCTACTCTGCTTACCCCAAATCCGTATCCCTTAAGCACAATGAGCCATCAAGAACTATATTAGCATCAGAGAATTCACTCAACCTTTTGAGATCAAGTTTCACAAGTGAATCATCATCAAGATCATGATGATTAATCTCATATTCAAATTCCACCACCTTTATGGAAGTCTTGAACATTTCAGATAGATGGACGACAAGGCCTGGATGAGCCCTGGAAAAATGCAAGGCTACAAATTCAGGGTCAGAAAATAGCTCGAGCTAGGTTTTGCACACGTACTTGCATCGGTTTATAGCTCGAGTAGGAAGCATGACCGGTTTTGCATAGAGGCGAGTTAGACCGGCGCCTCAGGCTAGTATTAGAGGAGGCCTCAGATTTTAACATATTTCATTCTCTCTCTCTCTCTCTCTCTCTCTCTCTCTCTTTTGGTTCACTACTGTTTTTTTTTTTTTTTAATTAAAACTTTGATAAATTAGGTCATATCTATTACATTTATAAATAAGGCCCAGTAACGTGTTTTCATTGTGGGAATTTCATTTCTAAATTAGGTCCGTTTCAAATATAACAGAAGAGGATAAGCGGCGTAGGATATCCAAACTCGTGTTGCGGCAATTTCTTAATTCTACTCAACTTGTTCATCACATATGTAGTATTCGATTTATTATTTTAAAATATAGGACGTTTTACTAGATTCAGAAAAAATTAACGAAGATCTTTAAACAAAGAGTAAAGTAAAGT